ATGTGATACGGAGTGGCTTTGTTATGAGAGAGAAAGCCAAGATTGGTTCTCTGGTTTTGTTTCCAGGTTTTTCCAGGTTTAGCAAAAATAAAGCAGCTGTTTGTGCAGACTAGGATAATGTCAACACAAATCCTGAGAAGCCTAAAAAAGTAGGAACTGCTGTCACTAAGGGCTGTGACAAAACTGTCTCGTGTTGAAGAGGCAGAGCTGCATCTTCCATGTGGAGCTACCACAGGTATTTTGGCAGTGTTGTTTGTCCAGACTTAATGTTACAAGGCAGCTGTGTAAAGCCTACTCAGATAGTCCTGAAGAAACCCAATAGCCCTCTGAGCCTGAAGTCCAACTGTTTGAAAGACTCCTTGCTGTAAGCCAAGGACAAATATTTGTCTAACTATATTTACAAATTTATTTACTAGGAGATTAAAGCAGTTGGGGTTGTAAAGCATGCAGCAAGAGTGTGGGACCTGAATTAAATTGATTACTTAATCATGCCCTTTACCCAACCCTGTAAAACGCCTCTCTCACTTCCTGCATGTGGTTTCTAAGTGTTTATTTCAGCCTGGAAAAGAGAAGGCTTCAGGGTGACCTAACTGCCCCTTCCAGTACCCGAAGGGAATTTACAAGAAAGATGGGGCAAGACTATTTACAAGAGCACGTACTGACAGGACAAGGGGGAGTGGGTTCAAAGTGAAAGAGAATAAGTTTAGACTGGGTATTAGGAAGAAATTCTTTGTTGTCAGGGTGGTGAGGCACTGGAACAGACGTTGTGGATGCCCCATCCCTGGAGCTGTTTAAGGCCAGCTTGGACGGGGCTCTGAGCAACACGGTCTAGTGGAAGGTGCCCCTGCCCATGGCAGGGGAGTTGGAAGTAGATGATCTTCAAGGTCCCCTGCCAACCCAAACCGTTCAGTGATTCTGTGCTTTTCCGCGAGAGTGTAAAAGCTGGGTAGCGCGGGTGCTGGCCGGAGCACCCGGGGCGGGAGGCGGGTATGGCCGGTCGCGGCTGCAGGTGCACAGCGGCGCTGCGGGTCCGTCGCAAGGGGGTTCGCGGGCCGGCGCTGACGCTGGGTAAGGCACAGCAATGCCCGTGAGCAGTCTATCGCCGTCCCGGGAGCGGGCGGCGCTACAGGAGGTGGGCCGTGACCCGCGGCAGGCGGGGCCGGGGCCGGGGCCGCGCCCCTTCCGGCGGGCGCTGCCGGAACCCGTGGAGCGGAGCGGGCGGCCGGGGTTGGGACGCCGTTTCGCCCTCGCTGCTGTTGCCGCCCGCGCTCCCGCTGCCGGTCCCTCTTCCCTCCCGTCCCGTCCCCTCATGGCGGTGGAGCGCGCGGGCACCGGCCCTTCCCGCCGCCCGTTCCGGCCTCCCCCGCCCCCGTCTCCTCCTCTTCGTTCGCCGCTGCCTGCGGGGATGTGAGGGGGCCGTGACCGCAGGTACCGGCGGGGAGAGGCGTGCAGGGGGCCCGGCCAACCCCGCGGGGGGAGGCGGGGGGAGGCGGGGCTCCCTGCCCGCGGAGCGCTCGGCGCAAGGCCCTGGGCGCGGGCGCTGCGGGTGAGGAGCGGGCGGGCCGGGGGCGGCGGTTGCGGGGCTCCGGGTCTTGGACCTGCCTGTAGCAGCCCAAGGTGGGTTTCTCCGTAGTGGGAAGCTTGCTGTGGTTCGGGCAGAGAAGGCTGGAATTAAAAACCCCTAAATCTGGGTGTTTGCGGGGCTCTCCCGCCGGGCAGAAGTGGCCGGGTACGGTGTGCTGGGTCTGCCAGAGCTCTGGAGCCGCTGTGCCTCGTACTGGAGTGTTGTTAACCAGGGAGCTGAACCGGTTCGTCTTCAGGGTTGAGTTACCCGAGGCTGAGGGTTGAGCAGAGCAACTTCGGTAGAACTTCGGAGCCCTGACGGTGCTTTAGTTTGACATGGAAAACAGTAATCTTAACTTTGCATTGTAGTTCATTGTAGGCTTAAGCAGCGCCAGGGGAGGTTTAGGTTGGACATGAGAAAAAATTTCTTCACAGAAAGGGTGACTAGACATTGGAATGGGCTGCCCAGGGAGGTGGTGGAGTCAGCATCCCTGGAAGTGTTCAAGGAAATAGAGGATGTGGCACTTAGTGCCATGATCTAGTTGACATGGTGGTCTTGGGCCATAGGTTGGACACAGTGATCTCGGAGGTCTTCTCCAAACTAATTGATTCTGTGACTCAGAATGATGATTTCTGTTTGTTCATACACTGTGAAGATGTTGCCTGGATCTGACTCTTTTGTCCCTGTTTTATTCCCCTGATCTTTTCTGTTTTAAGCAGTCAGCTTTCTCCACTTCACCTCAATGTCTTTAATGTTGTTTTTAATTAAAACATAATAAATGTAAGCCATCATAGCTCTTTCTTAATGCTTTTGACGTGCCTTGTATAGAGTTAGGGTTTTCCCCTGGAAGATAACAGCTTCATCAATAGGAAATTATTGCATAGGTATTTGTCATAGGTATCGATGTATTTAGAATTCAGTGTCACACTAGTTCTGCTTTTGTTAAAGTGGTTGATTCTTAGGATAAAATCCTGGCAAAAAGAAGGCAGGTTGTAACAGGTTATATCAGTCATGTCAAAGGAGTAGCAGTGACTAATGTCTAGATTTGACTTTAACATCCTGAGTTATCTTGAATTTGAAACTGCCCATCTGAAATACTAAAGGTGGAAGATCAGTGGCCCTGTGCTGGTGACTCTTCCCACTGAGAGTAGAGGTAATGTGTCAGGTATAGCAAAAGTGAAGCAACTCTTATCTTGAGTCAATTTTGATAGATTTCCCGGAAAACAGTTAATACAACATCATCTGTCTGTAGCACTGTCTGTAGTTTGCATTCAGTTAATAAATAACACTCTTTTAGTGAAGGTATTTGTAGCTTTATGTGAAAATGCTTTAATTAAAGGTCATTCTTTTCATAGAAGTGAATAACTACAAATAGAACATGCAAAGAAGAAGTTTTTAGTGTGGCATTTTTTTTTATTTCCTCCTGGTTTCATAAAATGGAATAGTTGTTGCTTTTGTTTTATTAATGGAAATCTGCTGTAAAGAATAAATTTCACCATCGAACCTTTTAAAATAGGCAACTTTAGAATGGTTAAGGTATGTTTTGCTTTCTGAGCACGTGCTAGTATATATGCAGATCTATAACAATATAAACAAATATCTTTTTAGCTTGCCTAGGAAATATGTAAATAATTATATGTATAAGTTTGGGCAGTTGTTTAACAGAGCTGGAAAACTGTATCTGTATTGGGGCAGATTTACAAAGTTGCAAAATTGAATAAAGTGTTTCCTAAACAGTGTATACAGAATCTTTGGGTACTGTGTGCGTGCATCTTGGCCTTTTAAAGATGCACTCAGTTTTGAACTGGCAGCTCTTTTATCCTAATGCTGTGTTACATCTGTCCCTTCAATGTTCTCTCTATACCTGTGCTTAAAAGATATGTTCATGAGTGGACAGAACACAACTGAGGAGGACTTAGATTAAAGAGTTAGGTATATTTGGGGGATTTTAGTAACTTTACTGAGACTATTTCTGTGTTCATAATCCCCACTGCTCCAGAGTTCTGTATATTCAAAGGAGAGCTACAAAGATGATGAAGGCCCTAGAGGGGAAGCCATACAAGGAGTAGCTGAGGTCACTTGCTTTGTTCAGCCTGGAGGAGACTGAGAGGAGACATCATTGCAATCTACGACTTGCTCACTGAGGGGAAGCGGGGAAGCAGAGGGACAGACACTGATCTCTTCTCTCTGGTGACCAGTGACGGGACCCAAGGCATGAAGCTGTGTCAGGGGAGATTTAGGTTGAATGTTAGGAAAATGTTTTTCACCAAGAGAGTGGTTGGGCACTGGAACAGGCTCCCCAGGCAAGTGGTCACAGCACCAAGCCTGACAGGGTTCAGACTGGCGTGTGATTTTTTGGGCTGTCCTGTGCAGGGCCAGGAGATAGACTTGGCCCTTGGGCATCCCTTCCAACTCAGCATATTCTGTCATTCTTTTCCTGAGTTATATAAACATCCTCTGAAAACTCACCATACTGAAGTCAGTAATTAAAACTATATTAGTTATTTTGTAAGAAAAGTGCCTTACAGAAAAAAATGGAAAGGACTAGGATAGTATTTCAGTTCAGCTTTAACATGATGCCTTCTAAAGAATAGCTTAGATCACAAGTTAGTTTCTTTGATTTGTGAAGTGAAAAGCAAAGGGATGAAATAATACTTCAGGCAAGACATACCTAAGGAAGATCAAATTTAAAATCACAGTGCTTTGTGTTTTTAAACAAAAATCCTGTCCCTTTTTAAAGCATAGATGAGACATTGTAAAGTCTTGTGTGTCATGCATGAAAATGAAATCAGCTTGAAATTATGGACAGTTTTTTACTGAATTCTTAAAATGCCACTTAATACTATTTAAAACTTCTGTTTTAGAAACCTAACTTCAAAATATTTAAGAAGTGAAAGCCTCTGGATTTTGGAACAAAATTGGTATGTATAATGAGCCTTCTAAAGGCTCATCACCGAACATTTGGATTTTTATTTTGTTAGGGAGTGTTTCTTTCTGTTTCCTGTAGTTTTATGCCTGTGGAAAGGAAGAAGTGAACACATAATAGCCAGTGTGACACATAATAGTCAATGTTTATTTATTAAAGCAACTTGTTGATTCAGCCCCTTTTTCTTCCATGGAAAGATTTATGACCAAAGGGCATTAAGTAGGTGCTTTATTCCAATGTTAGAAACATAAAACTTTTTATGGAGCTCTTGTAAAAGAGCAGAATTTACAATAAAATACCACAGAACAGCTCAAAAGATGTGGAATGGCTTTACCTGGAGTAACTGTTGTTTTGCCTGAACAGGCCTTTGTTTTAAAACCTTCTGTGTGAGTCATGTCTGAATGAATTACATCCAGGCAGCAATAATTTGTTATACAAGTGCAGGAGGTTATCCTAATAGAGAAGCTGAATATGAGTCAACAGTAAGTGACTACTGAGAAAGGGCTAAGAAAACCACCTGTTTTGGGTGTATAAGAAGAAATATAGTTTTCCACTGATTTGTGGAAGTAATAACTCAAGCTGAAGTACTGTATGCAGCTTTGGGAGTTGCATTTAAAAAAAGCTATTCGGAAGGAACCCAGAGGGGGCCACAGCAGGAGGTGCCAAGCACCTAACTTACAGAGTAATCTTAATATGTGGGTGCAAAGATAAAGGGACTTGTATCTTTTTCAAATCCAGAATGGACAAACACAGTGGGCTTTGGTAGTGAAAGTGAAGATCTAGGTGAAGATCATTAGATAGTGAGAATTCCTAATGGCATCAAAGCATGGCTGCCGTGTTTGTGAAGTTGCTTTTTCAAGTATTTCTTGGGAGAAGCTTGGCTGACTTATTTGTGATGAGAAGCAGCAGTGAATGATGCAGTACGTGGCAAAAGGTTGAAGTAGATGGCCTGTTAAGGTCATTTTTTGCTTACTTACATCATCCTGTTCACAGTTTAGAAGATCGGGTTTTAGATAAGAAAAATGTGAATTCTGGTATTTAAATAATTTAGCATATATTTAGATTACTTCCTGTAAGTCTTGTAAGACTGTCTACTGAACTCTAGAGGGACTGTGGCCAAGTAAGTAAAGTTGGAACAATCTACCATGTCTGCCTTTCCCAAGTCTAATTCTTGCTTCTATACAATGTACAGCTTGTGGAATTGATACTAATTTTCTTTGGCTGATATCTCCCTCATACTTACTTAAGCTGACTTGATTTTGAATGTAAACTATTATTTCATCTCATTACACCTCTTTTAGTGTTTCTGCATATTTAGAGGACTTACTTGCTACAATAAATGTAACATCTTTGAGTGCTGTGTTTGTGCTGCTTTTTTGAGGCAAAGAAACATTACCTTGTATTTTAGACGAGAGAGTCTGTATCTTGCCAGCATTTGTCATGCTTTTTGGTTACACCTTGAAAACAAGCAAACAAACTTTGTGGCTAATCTGGACTTGCTTATGTTCCGCAGTTGTTTTTTTTACATTCAAAGTTTCTCTGTCTCTCCCTGCCTGTTAACCTTCCAACCCTGTGTAATCTGCCACTGCCCTGTTGCGTGCTGAGAGTTATGACTCAGGATACCAGCAGATCCACAGGTAGTGCATTAACGAGTGGGTTTTGGAGGCATTGTAAATGTTGTAGCTTCTGTGGTTAGGAGAGTCTCATCCCCTCATTACTCCTCTGAGATCAGAACAGTCAACTAGTATTCCTCCATGACACTGCTGGTCTTGAGTGGATGAAATGTTCTTTGTGTTAAAATCAGCTGTGAACCTGATTACAGAACCTTTGCAGAACTCCACTACTGCTGGTTTTATTTAACTCCTACATTTTCTGGTTTCTCTCCTGTTTATAACCTAGTAGTGGCCCTGGCTATTGAGATGCAGTGGTTTTGCATGTCCCAAAGCAGAAACATGAGAGTCATATTTATTTCAGAAACATGCCTGTTTTCTTTTCTTATTTCCAAAGATAATTTTTCTTGATAATGTTTTTGAGGACGCATTAGTTCTTTACTGAGTCTTAGGGTTAGAATTAAAGTACTGATTTCCTGAAGTGGAAAGCTTCTGGTGCCTGGTGTTGCTTTGACCTTGCAGCTGTACGTATCAGTTCTACCTGTGCAAATTATATCTGTGCTGTATGCAAAGGGAACCAAATCTCTTCAGAGAGAACTTGGGTTCACCATGACTATGTGACATTTGTCTGCAATTGTAGACATCTGTATAAACAGGGGAAAGTATGGCAGTCCAGCCCAAGCAGAAATGGGACTGGCCATGTCTGTGAGGACAAATAAACTTGATGAGAAGAGTTAGCAGTAATTTTCCTGAATTTATGTAATTTAAGTGATGAAGATGTGAGTCATTTACAAGTTTAACAAAGCGGCTGACAGGGCATCAAAAACTCTTTAGTGTATTTGGGACATGGGGTAAAGTAGAACTACTAGTTTTGAAGTGTAGCATCCTTTTAAAGTATAAATTCATAAAATTACCTGTTAGCTCACAAGTGTCCTCATTCTTCTGCAATCAGATTCTTTTACTGCTGCAAAGAAAAGCCGCCTGTGCTTCTCCCTTGTCTCTGAAATGCAGTGGGTGGAAGATGTCAGGATGGGACTAACTGATGCTCTTTTCCTCTGTTAGTGTAGGTGACGATATGCAAGCCAGGGAGAGAAGAAAAAGGAAAAAAAAGTATGGAGAGTTCTCTTTTAGTAAAAAGCTATACTAGTAAAAATACTCCCTTTAGTAACATAACTAAAGTAGCAACTGTTGAAAAAAGTGGTAGAGTATAAAAGCTTACCAAAAGCAACCCCTCCTCCCCCAGGTGATGCTATTCCAGTGTCACATTTTGCACCAGCTGGAGCTGGAAGACCATTCATAGCTCGATTACCTGAACAGTGTGCCTTACACCTGCTAGAAAAGATGGCAGAGAGAACAGTTGCAAAGCCTGTTGATGTCTTTTCCTTGCATTAAAAAATCCCTTTATTCTTCAGGGGACTGAAAGTCTTGTTGGAATTCAAAACCAGGGGAATGTTTTATGTGGTAGGTGAGGCTGCTGGGTCTGGTCTATCTTGTGCATTGTGATTTGTTTCTCTTGGTTTTGTTCCATAGGTGATTTTGTATCATGCAAGAATCTAGTTTAGTTTTAAAAGCTGCTAGAAAATGAAAGCACTCTCATGTAGATCATTTACTTCATTTCTCCTACAAATAAGATATTAAAAATTACTATGCAAGGATTAAGGGAAGAGGATTTGAGAATTTTCAACCGTGGCTCTTGCAGCATTTTGAATAGTGCCACGTTGAGTGCTTATTAAATGAGACTCTTTTCCTCTACTTCTTCACAGCCTCACTGGATGCAGGTAGGAGGATCTGTGTTCAGTTTTAACATTAACCTACCTGTAGCTCTCTGCTAGGTTTTTCCTAGGGGTATAGAAAATTAATCAAAATCGGAAGCACACAGGGAAAAGTAGTACTGAAAGAAGGCAGGTTCTTCATACAGGTATGGGAAACTCCGTAATATAAATCAACAAACAAATGCCTTATTTCTTGCCAGATTTTCCTGGTTGTTAAAGAATAATTGCATGTGCATGCATGTCAGGCTTGTTTGTGTTATGGAGATGACTATATGATTAAACACCCTTCTAATATTCTCTTTCATTTTTCTAGGGAGTTTATGTGGAAGAAATGCTGTGACTGTTCTCAAACTCTCTTACAGACTGATTTCAACGTAAGTAATTGTTTGATCAGTATCATCAGTTTCATGGTGTGCCAGCCACAGATCTGTGTACTCAATGAAAAGAAAAATAAATCACATATTTGTAAGCTTTGCTTGTTTGGGTATCAGTTTTTATATGCCAGGTATATAACCATTCATTTGCTGTGTTCAGACTTGTTAGTTAGTCATCCATGGTGCAAGCTCTCACATGCTTCAAAGATTGCCTTTTTTTTTTAAACACTGTTAGCAGAGACCATTTGTAGGAGAACGAGTCACATGAGCTGTTGAGGATTTTCCTATGCAGCTTGTATTTCTACCAGTTTAATTCCAATGTGTTTATTTTGCTCAGGTTTCGGTGTTGCATCATTTTGTGTTGAGTAACAGAAGTTCTACTCCTCATTGATCAATGTGACAGTGTTTAGTAGTTTACGAAATGAGCCAAACTCGTGGGAGATATGACTTCTGTATTGGTTTGGTGTTGGCTATGAGTTCCAGCATTTTCATTGGAGGAAGTTTCATCCTGAAAAAGAAAGGTCTCCTCCGGTTAGCCAGGAAAGGCTCCATGAGAGCAGGTAAATAAATACATCTTGTAATAAATTGCCGATGTTTAGATTTTGCTGTTTAACAGATTACTAAACCAATGATCTTGTTTTGACTTTGGGGTTTTTTGTTTATTAAATGTATATGAAAACTAAAATATAGGACTGATGTGTTTTTCCTGTGGTGTCAGATACCCCTAACTCTGTGTGTGATACGTGCTATTTAATTTGTATGTAATACCCTCTGGGGACACTTGTCAAAGGATTCCTTTACATGTCAGTTAAGTCTAAATTGTACTTGCAAATTGAACTTGGAAGCGGCACTCTTAACTACATCTGTGCTCCTGAATGAGTGAATTTAGGAGAGTTAACAATGTTTGAGCCTCAGGAGATTGTTTTCTAAAACTAAAAATCACGTGTGGTAATTGAGTGTAACTAGCAGTGTCCCTTGAGGATTCATACTGGAAGAAATACTATTAAATATCTTCATCAGTGATATAGACAGTGGGATTGAGTGCTCTGCCACTGAGTTTGCTGATGACACCAAGCTGAGTGGGGCAGCTGATGCACTAAAGGATGGCATCCAGAGAGACCTGGATGGGCTTGAGGAGTGAGTCTGTGCAAACCTCATGAGGTTTAACAAGAACAAGCTCAAGGCGCTACGCTTGGGTTAGGGCAACCCACAGTATCAATAGCAGCTGGAGATGAACAGATGGAAAGCAGCCCTGCTGAGAAGGACTTGGGGGTGCTGCTGGATGAAGAGCTGAAAATGACCTGGCAATTTGTGCACTCGAAGCCCAGAAAGCCAATCTTATCCAAATGAGGTGTGGCCAGCAGGTGGAGGGAGGTGATTCTGCTCCTCTGCTCTGCTCTGATAAGACCCCACCTGGAGTCCTGCATCCAGCTCTGGGGTCCTCAGCACAGAAAGGACATGGACCTGTTGGAGCAAGTCCAGAGAAGGGCCATGAAAATGATCAGAGGGATAGAACACTTTCCTATGCAAACAGGCTGACAGAGTTGGGGTTGTTCAAAGAGAAGGCTCTGGGGAGAACTTTCAGCACCTTCCAGTACCTAAAGGGGCTTATAAGAAAGACAGAGATAATTTTTTTTTTTACCAGGGCCTGTAGTGACAGGACAAGGGGCAGTGGTTTTAAACTGAAAGAGAATAGATTTAAATAGAATAGTTGCAGCATCCTCAGATCATTCAGAAGGTTGACTCTGAATATTTTTGATTCAGTACCTGTCATCTTTGCTTCTAAAAGATGGTTGATCTTGATATACCATAGTTTATGCTCCCTGGTTTGGAACGGGAAAGTGTGATGTTTGCACATGTAATCAACCACATAAACCATGTACGATTTCCACAGAGTAGCACTCTTAGTAAGAGACACATAACTTGGCTTTTCATGTCATTACAGTGAGTTGAAAGAACTCTTTCTCACAGTAATGCATATATGGTCATCAGCCATTTCTAACACAAAAGAAATAACTGGTTTTCAAAGTAGGCTGTAGGAGGCAGATGCATGTCAGAAATTGAAGATGCTCTACCTAGAAAGCCTAAGTATCAAAAGGTTGCCCATGTTTTTAAAGGCGGGGGCTACAAAAATTATTTTATGTCATGGCAGCGTTACTGGTGATGGAGTGTTGATGTATGTTTTTAGTGGAGCAGCAAACATTCTTTCAATTTTAGGTCAAGGTGGTCATGCATACCTTAAGGAGTGGCTGTGGTGGGCTGGACTTCTTTCAAGTAAGTATCAAAAATATATTCATCTAAGTGTCGCAAATACAATCTGCATGATATAATTTTAATAAATAACTCTGCCACAGATGGCAGCAGTGATTACAAAAAAAGGAACGAGATTGGGATTCTACAATGTATGGTAATGCTATCTGGAGATTGATGGGTGCAGCTCTAAGGATTTTAATATAACTTCTCTCATACCAGAAGATCTTCCTTTAATTTAACTGCCCTCTTTGTGCAGTGGAGCTAGACAGGCATTGGTCTTCTTGTATGTCTTTGCTACCACATGCATTCTGGTTTTTGTCTTAGCAGAGAATTGCTTAGATATATTGGATTGCTTAGATATATTGGATTCCTTAGAGGGAAGCATATTTTGCAATTATGTCTATTTTCTGAACTTTTTTCGTTGCTTGAACTCTCAGCTTACTGGCTGTATTCAGGTAACTGGCCTATTGTATGTGCTGCGCTGTATCCTGCTATTGCAGATTTCTCCATGGAGAAGTTCATGAGTCAAGTAGGCAGGCTGAGCAGCTAGAACACAGACACTAAAGGAAAACACCTTGTGATTTGGTAGAATTAATTCTAATACCTGTTGCAGTTCCACAGCCTGTTTTTAAAATTTAATAGTGGGGCAGAGGGGCAAGGGTGTGCTCTGCTAGTACTGCTGGCTGAATGCTGTAATTAGAATTTCCGTTGTTCCTTCCTGCATGTCTGTGGCTACACAAACACTTGCACTGAATCTCAGGTTTGTTGTGTGACAGTCTAACTCCTGTTTTTTAATTACTGTTCCTCTGCAGTGGGAGCTGGCGAAGTAGCTAACTTTGCTGCCTATGCTTTTGCACCAGCTACGTTAGTGACTCCTTTAGGAGCTCTCAGTGTTCTTGTAAGGTAAGAAACACTAACAGAAAGCAGTGTGATTTGAGAGAGAGAAGTAAAACATTTCTTTAGAAATTTGTCACTGAACTATGCTGTAATAAATGGGGTTTGTTTTTAACAATAATGAGTGCTTATAAACATCAGGAGTAACTTTTAAGTTTCTCCAAATACCCAGTGACTGTGATATGAAAGGGCTCTAGCAATGCATCTACACTTCCATGTCTGAAGAGTATTGTCTTCTGCGTTTCAAGAACCTGGTATATACAACAGAGCAGTATTTTCATTCCTAAGTAAAGATTTTTGAATTTCTAAAATTATTTTTGCAAGTTCTTAGAGCAATTTTGCTGACAGCATAAAAAGGGGGTTCTGGGGAGAGATGCCAAATATTAACAGGTAGTTGTGTCCATAGGAAGTATCTTGAGATAGCTATTTTTAAGCTGCACTCTGTGTATGCAAGTGACCTTTACAGTCAAAGCAACCTGTAAGTTGATGAGAAAATGAATATTACTAATTCCATGTTTGTTGGTGCATTTTTTTCTTCTCAGTGCCATTCTGTCATCCTTCTTTTTAAATGAAAAACTTAATTTACATGGAAAAATAGGGTGTTTGCTAAGTATACTGGGATCAACTGTGATGGTAATTCATGCTCCACAAGAGGAGGAAGTAGAAACTTTGGATGAAATGTCCCACAAACTAGGTGATCCAGGTAAGAAAAATGCTGGCTTGATATGTACACAGCCCATCATTTCTTTATTATAGTTTCATTACTGCTGCTCTCAAGTTTTGGGAAGATAGCCTGTGTCTACTTGATTTTGTCTGAATGAATTAGAGATTTGAATTCTGTAACATAATTCCGTAGGGAACTTTGTGTGATGCCAGTGAGCTCGTCTGGCCTTGAACAGAGTCTTGCTGTGAAGCACTGAGATGACTGTTTATATAAATGCAGCAGCACAGGTGGATAAACAAAACTTCTATAAATGTTGACTGAAGTGTGTCAGTCTCCAAGCCCAACTTTGAGCCATGCTTTAAAATGAAAAAGTAGGTGTTGTGATAAGTGTCTGCTGAGAAGTGAAATTCTGAAGACGAGCTGTTGTGCTTACATGGAAGATGAGGCACTCACAAATGCACATCTGCAAAATACTAATTATACAAAGGCAATCCCCATTTTAAACATGAGGAAATAGCACAGATCAAAAAGCTGTTCTTAGAGAATGACTTGATTTTTGGAAATGTGCAATGAATGCAGCCACCTGCCAAAACCTAACTTCCTAAAAAGAGTCAGTTCAGACTCAAGCCTCAGTGGCATCTACACCTCAGTGAGTCTGTGTGTAAGGCAATTTAGCAATCTAATCCTGGAGACGTCTTGCCAATAGACTGGTAAAGGTAATACAACATGCCTGGGGTTCATTATTTTGGCTAGCTCGCTCTAAAATAATTTTAACTGTGATGTTGGAGGGCTAATGAGAAACATCCTGAACTCTTCTGTTTAAGCTGAGTCGGTCAAATTGTTAATGAGCGTTTTCTCGGTACCCCTGAGACGTTTTTGGTAGTGTCCACAACTAACACGATTTTTTCCCCCCAACCACAGGTTTTGTGGTCTTCGCAACACTCGTTGTCATTGTGTCTTTAATTTTGATATGTGTGGTGGGACCTCGCCATGGACAGACCAACATTCTCGTGTACATAACAATTTGCTCTGTAATTGGAGCCTTATCAGTCTCCTGTGTAAAAGGTTTGGGCATCGCTATAAAGGAACTTTTTGCAGGAAAACCAGTGCTGAAACATCCCTTGTCTTGGATTCTGCTGCTAAGCCTTACTGTCTGTGTGAGCACGCAGATCAACTATTTAAACAGGGCTCTGGATATATTCAACACTTCGATAGTGACTCCGATATATTATGTAATCTTTACAACATCTGTTTTAACTTGTTCTGCCATCCTTTTCAAGGAATGGCAGCACATGGCGGCTGATGACATTATTGGCACCTTCAGTGGCTTCCTGACTATTATTGTGGGGATCTTTTTATTGCATGCCTTCAAAGATGTTAATTTCACCTTAGCAAATCTGCCCCTCTCTTTGCGGAAGGATGATAGAGCAGCAAACGGCACTGTGCTGAGCACATACGAAAGCTTTCATGATGATGAAGAAAGTTCTGCCTGTCTAGGTGAAATGCAGTCCACTGAGAGTCTCTCAGCCAGGAGAAATGGAAGTCTGTCAGCCTTCTGAAAATAGCTACGTGTTACTTAAGAAAAGAACAATTCTGTAACTCTGGAAATTTTTCTTCTGCTGTGAAATGTCTGATCTTGTCTGGAAATTCATGTACTTTTTAACAGTATGTGTAGACAATCGTTGATTTTTAAGTTTGATTAGTTTGGATAAGAACACTGAAACCGTTTTTATTTGCCTTATTTTTACTTTAAAAAATACTAAAATGACCTCAGACCACAACTGGTTTTGTTGCTTAAGTTATGTGTAAATACTTTAATTTCATTCTTCTGTTTTTAAGATGTATTGCACTAATGACAATTTTATCAAAAATAAATGGCTTTATTTCTGCATTGGTGGTAAAAAGGTTGCAGTGAACCTGGATCCTTTGTACTTGTGCCCTGACTGACCACAGAGTGACTGTAACCATAATGAAACAGGAGCTGCAGCAACTACTTCCATCCTAGTTTGTGAAAGAGGAAAGGAAAAGCTACAAACAAGCACAACTGATCCTTTAAACGTACTGCTGTATGCTAAATTTGCTGCATTTGCATCAAAACACCCCAACTTTACCAAATCAGATTAACTGGCAGCAACAAGAAGGCAGGAGCTTCTACTCTGCTTGGATAGGGAGGCCATGCCATTTTATGCAGGAAGAAGGATTTGAGTCACTAATAGTAGCCAAGAAAAGCAATTCCCCCTTCTGTAAAAGCAGGTTCTGTCTGTGCTGCACCATGCTGCCCTGGCTCTGCAGAGCTGCTCTGTGTTCTTGGTGTTGCAGCTTGAACTCAGAATTGCTTGAATAGAATTACTGTTTTGTTTGCAGTAACACAGTTACTGGCTGTAACACTGAGTTTTTCAAAAAGGGCCAGAAAAATTGGAACATAATGTCACTGCTTAAAAAAGGGTTAAGGCAGGCAGGTGGTAATTTAAGTTTGCAAAGGCAGAAAATAAAAATTAGTGATAGAGGTTTCATAAAAACATTTCTACCATGCATATGAAGGCTGGAAATACTTGGAACAGAGACTGCTAGTTACTGCTGGTTGTTGTCAGTTTTAGTGCTACTGTTTAAGAGTATTTAAGATTTTTCCCAGAACAGAAAAAAACCCTCAGCAGTCCCCACCTGTGAAACAAATTCTGCTGCCTTCCTTTGGTGCATGTCTTAACATACAGGAACAGCGAATGTGTCAAACAAGAAAAAGGTTCTTTCAATTCTGGCTGAAGAACAGGATTTGAACTTGCACCTCATTGTAAGGAACATCACATCAGCAGCGCTCAGTCAGGGGGAAAAAGTCCCTCCAGTGCTGACGCAAGGAAGAGCACAGAAACAGGGAGGGGCAGGGAGGACATCAAACACCAAGGAATTGCTGAACTTGGTTGCCACTTCTAATATCAAAGCACCAGCCTACCTACCACAAGAGCAGGTTATTTCACACAGTAGAGTCTGTTACTTTCTGTGGTGATGGGCACTTTGGCCTCCAGACCCACTGGTTTTGATGAGAACTAATGAAAAAGTTACACCTTTAATGCACCTTCGCCATTTTCCCTTTTAGGCAGGAGAAGAAGTTATACCAGGTGAAGAGGATTTAGCTGCTATCAAGTCTAATGCTGCTGAAAATTCCTAGGACTAATGTCTGAATTCTCTTGAACTTTTTAGTGATCAGAAAGTATATAAAAAGTAGTTTTAAGATGTTAGAGACCAATCCTCTTACTGCTGAAAGTTAACTGGTGAGAATTAGAACTTATTTTACTAATATCACAACCAGTTATTTTTATTTTAAATAGTTCTTAAACATACAGGCTTTATTAATTAACGATCTCTGCGCCATAGTGCCAAGCCAAAGCCTCATGTGTGCAAGACATCCCTAAACCAGTGATTATCTCAACAAATTAGGAAAGTTGTTCATGTGCGTAATTAAAGCCCGAAGCACATGGAAGAATCTGGTTGACCAGAATTCTTCTGAGAACTAAAAATGTTTCTTAAAGAAAACTGTCTGTTCAACACCTTGTAAAAGAAATCTTGCAACAAGCTGGTGTAACAAAGCACAAGTGCTTCTTACTTCTGTCTCTCACGCAGTGGGCAGCCTTGTGTGTGCTCTCAAAACAGACACCACTCTAGAATGGCAGCTCTCAAGCACAGATGTCCGGGAAAAACCTGTGACAGTGGAAACTTGCTTATAGATTGCTTGGCAAATCTCCACCCTCTGTTTAGCTGAGGAAATCCAAGTTAATTTCATTCCTCAGAATCCAGTTCCCTGCCACCCCAGTACCTACACACTGCTCACCTCCTGCATACTTCCTCTGTGAGAGGCTCATTTCTACCTATTACTGGACTCAATCCCGTGGCTGTGAAGCATCTGGAAAGAGCTGAGCAGGAGAAAAGATGTGCTGTAACCTAATCATGAACTGGTAAGAGGGAAGGGGGAAGAACAGGTTCTCAAAGGGATGCATTCTTTATCTCACACTATGGGTTAGAAACACTAACCAAGTAACATCTCCAGATATCCATATCCTGGGTAAAACATGTAATTATCTGTCTGTGTCTGTTCTGGCCATCCTTTACTCGTGTTTGGTTTGGGCTGATCCCAACAGCCAGCTGAGGAACTCTGCTAGGACCCTGGAGTAAGCAAGCAGGAGTTACTACTTTTGGCTGAATGAGTTGCTTTAAAATTCAACTTTTACACCTGCAAAGTTTTACAAACAATTTTACTGATGCAGTGTTTGCATAATACAGCAAGTGTAATTAAACAAATATTTTCCATAAGTAAATCATGATTAACATCATTAGAATTTATGTACTGGGAAAGATTACACCTGATTGCTGTAGTCAGCAATTCCTTATCACTTGTAAAGGTGTTTGGGTATGCAGGTATGTATCCAACCAAAATATAAACTCTGTTAGAAGCTCTCATTAGGAAAAAGTAAACAGTCCCCATTCTAATCAATCAAACTACTGCCTCTTGAAAAGATCAGAATACTCTCAGTCACCCCCGTGTCAAATAACTTTGAAACAAACACTATAATTAGTCCATAATAACCTCAGAGAATAGTTTTGCCAAGAAGAAAAATAATCAACTGACTACAAAAATTATTCACAAAGCACCAGCAGAGTTTGTTTCGTTGTTTTTTAATTTTTTTTTTAATAAAGGCAAATTAAGCAGTTAAGGCTCTAATACAAACAATTATGCATTGATTTCTAAAAATTTTTTTCTACAGAACCCAGTTTTTTATCCTCCACAGCCATTATTTTGATAATTTCAGGGAAAAATTATGCCAGTCCAGTCTGAAATGGCCACCTCGGGACAGGAATGCAAAGAGATTTCAAAAATCTTACAGGCTTTTAATCAAAGTGTATAAAATTTTAGTCTAGAAAAATAAGTATGGATTGTATACAGTTACTGTGCTTGGAGACTGGAGAGGACAGTGCACCACTCAAATGGCACAGACATACTGAAAAATGCAGATGAGAGTATTCCTTAAAACTGTTGGTGTGGGTTTTGTTTCTTGGGGTTTTTTTCTTAAACTTTTAGCCTAAATAGGTGCAAAAAGTATCGTCAGGTCTAGTTGCTGGCAAGGGACTGATGGATAGGTGGCTGGAAGCAGCGCACGTGTTCCACAGGAGTGCTCTCTCCATCGCCGGACTTCAAATACTTATCCAAAATAGCAATTATTTCATCATTTAGAATCTGGAACTTGCGAATTCTCTCAACCATTTTCTTCAAAGGCTGCACACATCAAAAAACCAGACACACAGGAATTAGCTTTGGAGATAAAAAGCCTTAGACAGAAAAGCAGCAAATGCTGCTACCTCACCTCTCTGAGCAATGTTACCAATGTTTCCCTTTCACTGCTAAGCCAATGGAAATCCAAGGCTTGTTTTGGTTTTTGACAGTGCTGCTTTTGGTACAAAGAAGTTCAATTTACAGCAGCCTTATCGTTATCTGAATGCACATATATGAGATGGAAGGCATTAAGAAAATCTCACATACATGGGACATCAGAATTCTACTTGATCAGTATTCACACTCCAGTACTGATGCCTTAATCTTTTGTTTCGAAAGTTCTGGTGCCCTCATTTTCAGCGATTCATTCTAAAAGCGATTGCTACATCTACACTGCATTTGAGCACAAACAGCTCTGAGTTGTTACTGTCTTTCTTACTGCAGCAAATACAGAACAGATGTTTTCAACTCACCACATTCTTTATAACCTCATCTTTGCCATCGTGCTTTTGGACTTTCAACAGGTGGTAGCAGAAATCCAACACATCAAAGCGACGCTGCTGCCCCAAAAGCACGATGATCATACAGCCAGCCCAGTGTAGGCCATCTCCAAAGCACTGCCTGAAACAAGAAACACATCACACAGAGCAGGTTTCACCTAAATCTATTTACAGTAAACACTTCGTAATCAGCCATTACGCTGAATAATAAATGAATAATAAATATGCTAGACATTAATCTAGAAAGCAAAAGCTCTGGTATAATAATTTTCTTTGCAGATATCACAAGCGATTCAAATGGGTGCTTAAAAAAAATACCAGAAGCCCCCCCTCCACAAATTTTACATAATGTAGAGTTACTCCAAAAACTTTTACTCCCCATTAGACTCCTGCGTCATTACATTTCATTTTCAATGGAAACAATGCTTTCCAAGAAAACAAAGTGGGAATTCAACACCACTCTGTTCCTTTAGGCTGCAGGCACGAAAGGAAGCAAATGTCCTATGCTGTTTTCTAATTGCTCAGTGAAAAGCACGTTACAGCTCAACAGTTTTTCAAAATAAGGATATTCTCAAATTCAACAAAACCAAGAACAAACAACAGTTCCTGGTTAACTCATGTTAATCATGTTAAATTCCAAGTGCTCATTCTTGCTTTTAATTCAGAGAAGAAATACTTGTTAGAAATAGATGCACAAATGTTCTGCTATTTTATTTAAGCTGAGCATCCATAGGGCTATGACCCCTATTGAAAGACACGTGCTAGGGCCTGTTTGTCGTGGGATCACTCATTGTACACTGGCAATACTTAAAATAGAGGGCTATTTTCATTAAAGATACAATAGTATCTGTGTTCGTGGATTATGAGCCCCTCCCAGTGATGGCAGCACTTTTCCTTGTTTTTGTGCTAAGCTCTGGCAGGCAGGCAGACAAAGGCCTCTGTCCGGCCCCACCGCCGCTGACAGGGAGGACAAACTAAGCGCTGTTGCCGCAGGTGAACCGCAGGCAGCTGGCAGTACGTACTCCACAGTGAACTCGTGTGTTCCCACAGGGATGCAGTAGACGAACTGCATCGCGCTCCAGAGGCGATGGAATTCCACACACTCGTCCACATGC